GGAGCAGCAGTGGCTGGAATTCCTTGGGTCCCTAATGCAGCTTCAGGTGAGGGGTTAGTCTGTAACATCCTATAGAGGATAACACATCATGGTGGCTGGCATTTTTCCAAGGCGTTTTTCTACTGTCCCCATCAGTGGCCTAAATCTTTTTTTCCCCCCCAGAATCATATCTAGATCTTCCTCACATTTACTACTCCCTGTGGGAAATTTCTCAAAAATCCTGGCAGTCCTGAGCTGTAGATAATTAAATCCTAGGCAGTAAGGATTTGCCAGCGATTTCAAAATTGAGTTCTGTTCATCTCTCAGCTGTCTGTCCCATGGCCCCTCCTAATGAGGCAGGAACTGCAAACATTTTGATGGATGCATGGAACTCCTCTATGACAATACCAGCTTGATCCAACACACAAGGAAATTTTAAAGCCTTTCCTTAACTGGGTACAGGGTGCACAGACCTCAGAACTCCTGTCTCCACACAGTGGGACAGGACCCTGATGGGCTTTGGCTGGTCACACCCTCTGGCATCACATGAGGAGCTGTAAACTCCAACCAAAGGCTCATTTTTTTAGAGAGTTAAAAAGATGCACTTTAAAATAGCTGAGACACAAGGAGACATGACCAAGGGCACACTGGAAAACTGTGGAGGAGTTCACAACACACATACAACAAGTGCCTGTCACAAGACCACCCTGCCAGCCCTCTGATGCCAGCTTAGGCCTCTAAGCTGTCAGTCTTAAGAATTCCATGTGCACCAAACCTTCCTGTGTCCCGTTCCCCCAGTCATCATCACTGAACAAAAACTGACTGCAGCGCAGAGCAGCCCTTTGGGAACGCGCTCCTGCGCCACTGCGGAGCAGGGGGTGTGAGCCAACGCCAATTCCAATTAATTTCATTCACAAAACTTGGATTTATTTGATGCAATTTTTTGGCCCACCGTCAAATACGGCACAAAATTACATTAGTGTCATAAGAGGAAAGGATTAGTTGACAGAGTTCTTTGAAGAATTGTGTTGGCACTTGTCTTTTTGTACAGATGCCAGCAGCTTCCCCTCTCTCCAGGACTAGCCCATTTTCTCCTGGTCAATGAGGGAAATCGCTGCTCAGTGAGGGTCTGAGCCAAAGCCTTTTGGAGTCTGTGGGAATCTTTCCACTGATTTCCATGGGCTTGAATCAGCTCTGAGCCTCAGATGTCAGTTGTCCTGACATCTTCCTCCCACACTTCGACACCTCCTTAGGGGCATTTATCAGGTGGAGGGGAAGACTTTTTTCCTTTATTTTTTCTAAAGCCTTAGTTATAGCAAATTCCTGCCAAAAGAAGAACAACTTCGTAGCTACAGCACGGATGTGAGTATTCAGGATGTCTGGGTTTAATTCCTGATCTTGTCCCAGAGGTCTTTGAATGAGTTAATTGGAACCAGACCTGTCTGAAAGCATAACATCAGCCACGGGAGGGCCATGTAGCCCAGCATCTTCCCCCTGACACCACCTGGAAGCAGACGTGTCAAGAAGAGGATAAGAGCAGAACAAACGTGCTCCCAGCCCCAGCAGTTTTCATCACTCAGGCAAGGGGGCCCAGGGACAGGGATGTGCCAAGAGAATAAGCCGAGTACCCCCAGTGATGCAGGGAATCTGTAGGGAAGCATGAAAACGAACACGCAGATTACAGTTATAGCCAAGGATAAGCTTAATCCTTTCTTTTTGTACAGTTTTTAGCACAACAGGAAAAGGAGGATAATGTTTTCTATCCCCACTCCTCCTTTATTTGACTCGTATTTTTAGTCTAAGGTTCTTTGAGACAGAAAAGAACTGCAGGTGCTGCTAAGCCTGAGGCAGACATAAGCCACTAGTACTGCAAACAGAAAATCGACTGCCTTGAATACTGATCTGTGATGGAATATTGTAGATACCACATAAATAATACTTGGTGGTCACTCATATCAGAGTGGTTGGATATTTGGTAGGAACACACATGTGGTGCATCTTGGAGTAAGTAGTTGTGCTGTAAACCACAGCCTATTTGGGATTCAGACTTCATGCAACTCACTGGCTCTGCACACGCAAGTGTCACCATCAGAGCCCCTCACATCCCAATCTGTGCTGGCCTGAGCCCTAAAAACAATAGCCTGAAAGAGCCCTGCAGGTCTCCTGCATGCCAGCGTGGGCAGAGTGAGGGCTGAAAACACTGGTAATTCTCTGCAGAACATTGGTACTTGCTGTTCCACTAGGAAATTTTAATAGAGCTTTGCATTAATTAACCAAGACTGAGGCTGGAACCCTTTACAGTGCACTGTCCCCTCAACAAGAATGACTCGGTGTGTTCACTTCTGCCCTCCCTGCACCAGGCAACGGCAGATGACACAGCAAGTCTGAGGAATGGATTCTGGAGGCTTGGCTCAGGCAGTGTTTGTGCCAGAAGGGGTGTGTGGAGTTGTCCCTGTGGCTGTGGGTCCCTTTGGTGTGACACCACCACGCCTGGCTGATCTAATTGCTGCTGTTACAGACACGTTGAATGCCCAACCATGTAAACAGTGTGACGCTCCCACAGCCATTCCTGCTTACTGACCTGTGCAAAAGGCTATTTTTGGCAACTGCTGGAGGCCACTGTGGTGGCAATGCCCACGCTCTGAGCCTTATCTTCAGCTGATCCAAGCATGCACAACACAATTAGATCAGACCGATACCACTGAAAAGGGTCTTTTTTTGATTGCACCCAACTCTGCTTAGGTACTGAAGTTGGAGAGGAAGCAACAGGAAAAAAAAAAACAAGCTGGAAAAAATAACCCGTCTTTCATAATGAAACAGGTAAGTCTTATTGCTTTTGTAGCTTTAGCTTTCAAACAGCTTTTCCTCCAGCTGGTTAAAGATAAACTGTGTATCAAAAGTCTCTTGGGCAGATTGCTGAGGACAGTAGGGCAGCCTCCCACTACAGAATCCAACAAACTGGTCTCTCCAGTTTCCCCAGTGATTCACACCTACTGTTCCCAAATGGGCAAATCCTGAGCAAAAAGATCTCCCCAGTATCAGCCTGGGGATTCCTCAGGCTTGATGGAACTGGTTCTGCTCATACCCATGGAGAGAGACATTTGTCACCAGCAGTGATACGGACACACTGAGTCATTCCCTGGGATGCAGAGCAGATCTTACTCCACCTTGTTCTGCCTTCAGCACAATGGAGTGTGAGTACCAGGCTCCCTCACAGCACACCAATTGCAGGCCTGAGGTGTACAGGAATGAACAAACACACACATCTCTGAGGCTACTGTCCTGGAAATGAATGGGCAAAACAAACACAGGGAGCCAGGAAGGAATGGCAGAAAGACAGGAACTGGCTTTAGGAACAGCCTTGGAAATAAGTGAGATAGGAGCAGCCCTGTTGAAGAAGCAGAGAAAAATGAACATTTGAAAACTCCAGAGCTGGGGATGAGACAAACAAAATGCAGCTAGAGAGCACCCATGGAAAATCATTCACCAGTTATCTCCCAAATAAGGATCCTCTTATGGAATAGGCACAGTATTTACTTAACACTAGGGCTCATTTTGGCATTTGCTGCCTCTGCCCTACTGTAAGTCCATGAGCAAGGAAGCAAAACATGCATAAATTCACAGCTTCACATGTCTCTCCTCCTGCAAGTCACTCCCTGAGGACAGCAGGAGGTTTGCACAGGAGTGAAAGCCAGACTATGGTCCTCAGGTACTAACTACTTTAGTGCTGGTTATTTATTTAAAACCATTCATATTTATTAATATTAAATATCCTCGTGAGACAGGTAATTTTTTTTTATATTCATTTTAGCCTTTCCTCTCGTACTGAATTTTCTCTGATTTTGCCCTCACATTCCCTTCACTGAAACTATTCCCACTCTTTTCCTCCCTTACACTGATCAATCAAACTTCAGCTGATGAAGACTGATGATGAGGCATCAGTGCTGAGCTTTGCAGGTGACATTCCGAGGGAAATTCCACATCATTGCATCAGTCAGTCTACAGTCCTGGTCAAGGAGTTTTCAGACTGCTGGTACTTGCAGCAAGCAACCCTAATCCACTTCATGGAATCATTGTGGTCAGTTTACAAAAATCAGCAACACAAGCACTCAAAAATACTTTATTTTGCTGCAGAAAAGTCAGGACCTCACATTTTTGGGGTTTTCTTGTTGCCTTCATGCCAGCACTGCAGGGTCAGCTGGGCCTGGGTCAAATTAACCAAACAGAAGGCTGGGCTCTTAGCTCCTGTTGGGATTTCCCAGTCCTAAATTTCTGGATTATCACTGAGGTTTAAATGTGCAGAAAAGGCTTGAAGTGCCTTGGCAAGGGGATAGTGTGTGAATGTAACATCTCTTAGAGTTAACATGCTTGATCCTTCTAGTGGTGATGAAATGAAACCATGGAAGGCTCCTAGCCAAATTTTCTTCCTTTTTGGTTAAGTGTGGAAATTCAGAACAGAGCACTCCATGAAGCGATACCAGCTATCACCTAACTGGCATGGAAAAATCTGTTTGGACTTGCCACAATGAAAAACATACAGGAAGCAACATACAACACAAATGCCAGACCCAAACATCTCCGATTCAAAACCCTCCATCACTCACCTGCAGAACACCAAACAGCTCTAAATCTTGCTGAGGCCACTGGAAATCTTTCTGCTATCACAGCAACAGTGACAACACGCAGCAAATGAGGCAAGAGCTATGTACAGAAATGCCACCCTTTCACAGCACTTGGAAGAAGGATGGGAGTGCTTGTACATCACTGAACAGGAATCCTGGAGTGTCATGTGGCAGGGGAGCAGTGCAAGAGAACTGGGTAAGTATTTCACATGCTGGGACATATCAGTGACAAAGGAGTGCTAGAAATGTTGGCTGAAAAGAACAAACATTTGCCCTTGGGCTCATGCCTGTCTGCTCAAAACAAGGCTTGTGCTAAGATTAGGCCAAGCCATAGGCTTTCAGCTGGAGATGTGAGGGGAATGGATGTGAGGAGTGTGAAGCAGTGTGGATCTTGCCTACCTGCGGACGACAAGCTTCAGCTTCTTGTAGGACCCTTTCACCAGGGAGATGGCCTCTCTCCTGGAGCTGCTCAGTTCCACCTCATTGATGTTCACCACTTCATCACCAGCCTGCAGCTTGGAAGGCAGGGAGTCTGCCTTGCCTCCCTCTTCGATCTGCGCAGGGAAGAGAGGACAAGGCGAGGGTGAGACATTGCACCTGCAGAGCTGAGCCTGCCTTTCTGTTCAAGGAATTAGGTCTACCAGCCCCAAACTCCACTCTCAGGTTAAGAAACCTGGTCTCCCTTTGCCAGCTATCTTGCTCAAAGGTGTGTGCTTGCCACTCGTGTGTGGAATCAGCAGCCAAATGAGTTCTGCCAAGAACCATTGTTTTGAATAAGCCTGAAAAGCCTTTGGTATTTGGAAGCAGTAAACGCCAGTAAAACAGCCATGGACTGGCTCCTGATAAGAGCACCCAGGCACCAGCATAAGGGCAAGGCTGGGATTAGAAGAGCCTGGATGTGTTTTTTTTGTTCAAGCTTCTCTTCATGATCCACCCCTCTGATGAACAACAGCTTCAGCAGCAAAGCAGGTGCACCCAAGTGTGGTTAGTTAATGATGTGCAGTGCCTCTGAAGGGTTTTCCAGCTGGGAATACAGAGAAAGTAGACAATTATTTGAATTTTATGTGAAAGTAAGCAGCCTGCTCAAGGCTATGTAGTGGCAAGGCTAGAAGGAGAATCCTAGGGCACTCCCCTCTGCTTTGAACAGCCCATCCTGTACATGGCATAGTGATTCCCCACCTGTGTGTTGGCAGAAATACGCTAAGTCTGCAACAAAGTCAGTGACAAGGCAGAGGATGAGAAAATCTGGCCTAGGATTGGTGAATTCCAACCTTGTGCACTAATGCACTCTCTCTGCAAAGGTGTACTAGTATAGCAGAGGGCTGGGTTATATATGGGCTCATACATTGCAAATCCTGAGTTTCAGCAGGCTCGGGAGTGCCAGCGGTTCCAAGGGCAACTGATAATTACTTTGATTGCAAGACTTGCCGCCTTGGAGTCTGATACTCAGAGCCCCTGGCAGTCCCTGCTCCACAGAGGCTGTGACCTGTGTTAGGAGTTGTCTGGGGACCCACACTTGAGCATAACATCCCCTGGCACATCACAAGTACAACAAAGAAACGTCTCTGTCTTTGTCTCTGCTGAGACAAAGAAATGTCTCTGGATTGGAGGGCAGGAAGGGCTGCTATTTGCAGCCCTATTTGCAGGGGTACCATTTTGGGAGCAGTCAAATTGCACACATACTTCTGGAAGTTGCTTTTATTTCAAGTCATGCCAAGCAATGTGTAACTGAGCCATGCCCCAGACGTGTAACTCAGCACATGCAGACACGGTGCCCAGGTTTTTACCAGCACATTAGTTTTGGTGTTGAATGGTGACTTCTCACAGGCAAAGCCCGTCTGTTTCCCTGAACAATAGAATTCCAGCCTGTGTACCTTCTAAAATGTAAAATCTGACTTCCCCAAACACCAGCCAATAAATTCTCCAAACCCCCTACAAAGGCAGGTAAAAATCATCATCATTCATCCTACCAGGAACTCTTCCACTGATGAATGAGTTTTTTCTTTTCTTCTTAAGAATGGATAAAACCACAGGAATGAGCCTTCCTATAAAGAGCCTTGTATCACAATTACCAGGAAGGGTGAGAGATGAAACATTAGCCCTTGCTGCCAGTATAAATAAATAACAAACGAAAAATGAAGTATTGCTGCAGTTTATTGCTGCTGTAAAGGAAAATAGATGGGTGTCATTTCAGTGGAATACAATAATGGGGGTACCAGGGGTTAGATTAGTTCCTGATATAGGAAACAGAAGGGATTTTTGTTTGTTTTTGTTTTATGTTACAGCACGTATCATGGAGAAAAGGCCACCTTGGAAGAATATCTCCTGTAACAAATGCCAGCTACTTCAAAGGGTGCGATACCCATCAGAAGCATTTGTATTAACTTGTGCCTTGATGAACCCTGACCTGGAAAAAATCGACTGAATTGTGATCTGTGCTTTATCCTCTAATAATTCCAATTGCCTTTATATATTGGAGATTTTTCACTCCACAGGAGCACTGTTTTAAGGTTCTCTTTGCAACCATGTGGGCTTGACCTTTCTTTTTCTCCTCTTTTTCAGTGAAAATGGACATTTGGACTCTTCCATATTCACCTTTATAAATAGTGTTAAATCAAAGACTTTAAGGAAAGGCTAAACCTCACAATACTTGAGATAAGGCTGCTGACATTTTGAACAGCTCTGAAAGAAATCTGTCTCCAAAGCCTGATGGATTCCAGCTTATCCCCATGCCAAGGGCTCTTCAACTGCAGCTTGCAAGGCCACGCAGCCACAATACCAGAGTAAAGGATGCCTTTAAGGAAAGTTTGCTATCACAAGTGCAGAGTCATCTGCAAGTAATTCCAGAGGCTGAGAGGGAATTGCTTTGCTCCCGTGTGCTTAAACTGTCCATGAGCAACAGCTACATCCAGACACACTTTTTGCCATTAGAAGCTTTTGATGGCAGCATTACAACTGTATTACTTAGGGACTTGGAGAGAATAGAAATGGAGATATGGATTTGTATTCTGTTGTTGACACAGTTCTCTCATCTATTACTAACCTGTCAGCCACCTCATCTGTCATCTGTTCAGCTGAGGTTACCTGGCTGCAAATTCCTTAAAGTTCCTGGAGGAGAACATTCACAACAGGCCTGTCACCTGGCCCTATAGCTCAGAGAGACAAAAGAGGCAAAAGGACTCCCAAGTTTCCATCAGAAGTCCAGAAGCAAGGCCTTGTCTCCCAAAGCAAGGCTTAGATGCTCCACATTCATTCTCCCTCTCTGAATGCCTCTGAAAATATTTGTGTTTAAGGAGTGGTGATATTTCATGGGAAGGATTGGGTGATTTAAACAAAACAAGCTGCACTATGAATACAAAGCTCTATCTCTGCCCAGTGTAACAATTATCAACAAAGCAAACAAACTTCAACACACAGGTAAGCTATTTCAGTGAACACCTGCTTCACTGGACGAGGCTGCACAAAGCAAGTTGTGCTGCACTGGTTCAAGCAGCCCCGGCATTGCCAAAATCACCCTCAACAGCCGCCTTTGACAAAAATGTAACAGCCATGAGCTACAGGACCTGGTGCAAGAGGTCAATCAAAAGCCAGTAAGACCTCTTATGGTTTATTTAAGCTGAGGAAAACAAGGTGAAATGCAGGCAGCAAACCCCGTGGGTGTAGCATTGTCACTCATCTATCAGGAGCAGGAGGAGCCAGCAGGAGCCAGCCAGGGCTTGAAGTTTTTTTCCTTTTGGCTGGATGAAGCCAACTGCTCTGCCAAGGTGAGATATGAGGTGACTCTGGCAAGCACAGAGGAGGAGGAATACCTAAAAATCAGTCTGGCTTTGAACCTCTGGGGGCTGGATTCAGTGGCTGGTCTTACTGCAGATGACTGCAGAGGAAATGCTGCTCCCCTCCTTCAGCCTTAATGCCATGTCCCAATCTGGGGGCAGCGACATGCAGCAGACAGGAATTCTTCCCCATTGTCCCCAGCCTCAGCATCAGCGTGGCAGAGCAGTGAAGACAATTCAATCAAAAAGTAGTTAAGTCAAAGGTCTCCCCCTGGAGCTGTGTCTCTGCTGGGTTTCCCCATCCCTGGTGCAGACAAGCATCTTCAGGGAATTCAGCTCTTGACATTTACTCCAAGCCAAGGAAAGAGTGTCCAAGTTAGTTATGGTTTTATGCTGCAGGGAAGCAAGGAAGGCATGTTTTTCTTACAGTGCTCTGCATTGTTCTGCAGCAACATTTGTGCTCCCAAGTACAAGGCATGGTAGTGGAGAGATTAATTTATTCCAGGTTCACATTGAATGAATTCACCTCGAGAGGCTGAATGTTATTCAGTGGAAGAACAAGTTAAACCCCACAGTTTTGAAGGGTTAGCAGTGCTCTGAAATATTTTCAATACTTTAAAATAAATCTGTTATTTAACAGAGGCAAACCAGTATATTTTCTCCCAAGTCAGCCTGAAACACCAATGATGTGGAAACCAGGAGTGCAGGCAGTTTACTGGAGTGCCCCTGCACCAGTGCAGACAGAGGCTCCCTGCAGCACCAAGATCTGTTGCAGTGTAATTTACTGAGGGCAGACACCAAAGCAAAGTGACTGTGGGCACCAAGGCAACCCAGCTGCAGAAATGCCAATGGGATCCGTGCAGGGTGGATGCAAGTTACTGATGAGTGGAGAGGATTCAAGGTCATTCCTGGGACTACCCTGCAGGCCCCAACACTTCCACACCTTTCCATTTCCTGCGTGATTGTTTCCTGTCCCGGGAGCAAGGTTAATCTCAGCAGTCAGCCCCTCAGCAAAAAGTGGCAAGAAGTGAATGGAAAACAGATTGCTGGCTTCAGCTCCAAGAGATAAGGAGACATGCCTGGATGAGTTTGCCTCTGACTCCTCTTGGTGACTCCAAATTCCTAAGCCAGCGGAGGAAAGAAGGCTTAGCTCCTAAGATAATTTTCCACCTTCTTAAGCATGAAACTGTTCAGCTCCCACAGAGATTTTTACATTTAAAAGAGGAAGGGGCAGAGAAAGATGGGCCTATGGTGCAGCTTTGACTCAAGCCTTCAAGAAGCCTCCAGGATCTTTCCTGTAACAAGGGGCAAAACTAACAATAAATTTTCTCCACCCCTCCCCGTATATACAAGACAAGGAACTAATCTGTGTTTGCTCTGGGTAACGCCTAGAGCCGTATCAGGCCTCTCTTTTGGTACCTGGGTCAGCTGCAAACAGGGTGCAGGTGCAGAGCAATGCTCCCCCTTTTCCATGGTAAAACCAGAGGCACTGCTTCCTCCTGCTCATCTCTTTGCTACAGGAGCCCAGGTTGGATCCCTGTAGCTCCTGCCTGCAGAGCACTGCCCTGTAGAGCCTTACTTCTTTGTTCACTGTTTGGTTCTTGCAAACAAGCCATTCCAAGCATGCCACGGAGGGTACAGCACCAGGTGATACAAACACTGGGGCCTGGGGCATGTTAACTCGATCCTGTTTGGTCTGCGGTGATTATCGGGCAGTATCAGCTCGAGGGCTACAAGAACTCACTGCCTGTCCGCCCCTTGTCGCTGATACACTCGTCCAC